TAGCGAGGAAGTTCTTGGTATGAATCCTCCCAGTTTCCATATACCTTTTCAATCTCCTTGGTCTTTTCTAACCACGCCTTTCGGTAAGACGAAGTATAGTTAAAAACTGTAGTGATGTGGGAGATTATGGTTTTCACCTTCAAAGATGGATCGTTGCTAACGAGTGGTAGGATTTCTTGACAAATAAGATCATAATTAAGTTTTCGATGATCCCGTGATTGAGTAGAACTGACAAAAGTGTGGGTAGACATGGAACCTATGACCCAACAATCACCTCTTAATTTGTATGATGCAGTGAGCTTGAACATACAATCAGGGTGGACACATTTGATCTTGTACCTTTCTGGATTTACACGGTCCACCTTAAAATCGATCGAGTTGAGCATGTGGATTTTTTTGATTACTCTGATACATTCTTCTCTGTTACGAAATTTGTCTTTCTCTTTTAAGTTTTCATCCGACTGTATATACGGATTGAAAAATAAATCAGAAGACGGTTCATCTCCGCCCATGTTGAAGTTTGTCATGTGCGGAGGTGGGGTGTAGATCTCGTTTGCAGGAATACCAAGTATCCCTTCGTCTTCAGAATCATCATTGACCATTTCGTCAAACTCCAACTCGTCATCTTCTTCTTCTTCATCAACTGCATCTACTTCTGCTTGTTCGGTCTCCAAAGGATCAACCACTTGTGATAGCTGAGGCTCTCGCAGCATAATGTACAACTCAATAGAGTCGTACCCAGAATACTCATGACTGGAAAACATATTCTGAAGATCTTTGTCATCTTGAACCTCAAACTTATAAAATATTATTTGGTTGTTACCAAAAAAACCGGATTTTGATAAAATATTTGTGTCACGGGGCCTCGTCCAAGTTTGGCCTCCAATCGTTTTTTGAAGTACAAGAAATTAGCTTTCTTGTTTAAACAAAATCAGATGTTGTCTGTGTCTCTAAACAGAAACCCCGAGGTTGGACAAATGTATGTATCACTGTTGAAATGTGCACTGATGACATATTGGGGTGCAAAGGCCATTGCGTATGACTGTTTGAAGGTTGGAAGGTTTGAAGTTTATGAGTTATTTGCAGGAATTTTTTAATGTTCTAGTGTTTGAGAGATTATGTGAATCAGTGCTTTGATAAATGTAAGACTAAATAGGTCATACTGAATTTGAATTAACCAAGGCTGTAACCTTTAAGGCTCCTCCCATCACGTCCAATAGTATTACATGCATTCAGAGATGCCTTCTCCAAGGCTGTCACCTAGCCTACGCCTACTCTGCAACCCATGCCACCTCTTATTCGCCAATGGGGATGGCGACACCTTTCAATTTTGTACTCTTTCACCAAGTCCAATGGCGCCTCCCTTCATGTTCAATCGTGTTACATGCATTCAAATATGCCTTCTCCAAGGCTGCCACCTAGCCTGCGCCTACTCTGCACCTACACTGTAACCTCTAAGGCTCCTCCCATCACGTCCAATAGTGTTACATGCATTCAGAGATGCCTTCTCCAAGGCTGTCACCAAGCCTGCGCCTACTCTACAACCCATGCCACCTCTTATTCGCCAATGGGGATGGCGACACCTTTTAATTTTGTACTCTTTCGCCAAGTCTAATGGCGCCTCCCTTCATGTCCAATTGTGTTACATGCATTCAGAGATGCCTTCTCCAAGGATGCCACCTAGCCTGCGCCTACACTACAAGAGTGACACTTATCATGCATGCATGCACCCACCTACCACCTCACTTACTCTATGAAATTTTTTTTCCTATAAATACAGAACATTACATACTTCTCTCGCATCCACAATCGTCTCACTCTCTGCTATAAACTCTTTCATAATCTCTTACAATTTCAAACTCTTTCATAATCTCAGGCATTTTCAACAATGGATCTTCTCACAATGGGCGATTCTCACAGAGGTACGAGGGACAACATTGTAGCATTTGTAAGTTTCTTTTATAGTTATACATTTTTCATACTTCTAGTAATGCTTTTTTCATCTTACTTACTCTTACACCTTTTACATTACTAACTTAGGATACCAAAAGATTCAGAATCTGGTCACACAACTACCTTGCTCCAGACCCATTGATCATACCATATCTGGAATACGTAGGTTTTGGAAACGTATAAAGATCTCCAACTGCACAATTGATTCAAAGTTCATACTTGCAATATTTGAAATGTGGAGATCAGAGACCCATACATTTCACCTACCAATAGGTGAATGTACTGTCACGCTTGAGGACGTGTACATGTTATTGCGTCTCCCTGTCGACGGTAAGGCCGTTAACGAGTCGATTCAACAATCCAATTCTCTGTGTGAAGAATTGTTGGGCAGGGATATGGTTGACGGTGGTGGTGCGAGAGGTCACGGTATACTACTAACTGAGCTAAAAAATCATTATGCGACTCTGGAATTAAACGAAAATTCCTCCGAGCTAGCCAAGGTAATAAAAGCTAGAACTTATATAATGATACTATTTGGAACCTTTTTATTTCCCGAAAGTACGGGAAACAGTGTAAATTTTATGTATTTAAATTTACTTAGAGACTTCGAAAAAACTAGAAAGTATAGTTGGGGTTCTGCTGTTTTAGCCCACCTATACAGTTCCTTGTGTAAAAATGCAATCAAGGAAAAATGTACATTTTATGGCTGCGCTTTTTTATTTCAAGCATGGGGTTGGTGGAGGATGGAGTCCCTAAACCCCGTCAACAACAACATATTCGTTTTTTCATACGCAACAAAGTAAGTCATCAAGTTATATCATTTATTACTATTCATCTCTTCACCAAATATATGATAAAAATAAAATATTTTTCATTTCCTTTAGGTATTGCGTGAGGGGTATGGATTACGGCAAGAATCCAAGATTCAATGTCGCACTATACCGCAATCTATTGGATCACCTTGGCCCAGATGATGTACGTCATACCTTTCAACTTTTCTACTTTTAAATTATTTATATATTACGTTTTCATTAACCTGATTTAATTTTATCTGCAGTTTGTCTGGAGACCATATTTGGGTATGGGCCATGAACCAAACACTGAGGATGCAGCAATTTAGAGCACAAAGACTACAATCATACGGTTCAATGTTGTGGAGATGCACCACAACGGCCGTGTGAAGATGCAGTTTGGAATGCATCAAGAGATACCCAGCGATCCGACTTGTTTGTCCCCGTGGCATCTCAAAAGGGTCGACGCCCAATGGGGTCTTACCAACTAGAAAGACTTTGCTCCAGAATGGTCTAAGATGTGGCAGAGGTGTCACCGACATGTCTTGCAATTCCCAGTTTTCCTCAACCAGGGTAATATGCGACACACAAATCGGTTAGTACCCCTGAAATACACGTGTCTCATCCAAGGTATTTGGTTGACCCACGAACACAATGGGCACAACCCTCATTTCCCCAACAACAAACCCAACACACATCAACCTCCCACCAACCCCCCAGACGAAACAGAACTAGAAACACCCAACCACAGTCACCACCACAATACAATTACACCCACATACCCCACAACCAACAACAATCACCACCTCAGTACCAATACCCCCAAATGCCTCACACCCAACCGCAATTTCAATCACAATACCAACACACCCGCATACCTCACACACAATTTCAGTCTTCTGCATATCCCAATATGGGCCCCTCAACATCCAACCTTAGCCCTGATCTGGGAATGTAGGAAGATTATGAACCAACCGACCCAACTTACGATCAACCACAATATCACCAAACCACCCAACATCCTCAATACCAAACACCCCAAAATCCATTTCCTTTCTACCCTCCGTACTCAGACGACCAATGCTACAGACCAACCATGGAACCCCACCCACCGACAACACGACCAAACTTTGAGGGTATGGGTAACCGATTGTACCAAAGCGGATCTTCTAGATATGGAGATCTGACTGATTTCATGGATCCGGAACACATTGACTTCGCTGGGCCATCAACCCTGCCACAACAGGAAACGCGACGAAACCCAACACGGAAAATGCGACGACGGGGATGCGGAACCGGGGGTCATTACCGGGTTTCGGGAGGCCACTGATTAATCTGTTTTTTTTTACGTAATAGTTATGTGTGTAATCATATTTTGTAAATAAAAAGTCAATTTTGTTGATCCTATATCGAATACGTAACGCACCACATTGGAAAAAAAACGCGAAAATTGCCCTAGCAAATGCACTAAGGCGCCATCTCACTTGACTTAGGGCAAGCCCTAAGCACCTAGGCGCCAAGTGAGATGGCGCCTCCCCTTAAAAAGTAGGTGTAGGCGCCAAGTGAGATGGCTCCTCCTTTAGGGAGTCATCTGAAACATGATTATTTGTGTAATTTTTTTCAAAACATAATTATTTATGAAATTTTTTTAATACATAATTATTTCAAAAAAAAAAAAATTCTCATTTACATTTAGTTTTACTTTGACTTCAGATTACCATTTAAGTGTAGACTATTCTCATTTAAAGAATAAATATACAACTAAAGAGGACACATAAATTGCAACACCTCCACATTGAAGAGGACATCACTATAGCTCCTATAAATAAACTAATGTTTGATTAAAAAAATAAAACACACAATTTTCAAATTGTAATCCCTAATGTAGAAGTTACACTCTAACATGCTCAACATCATAAGTTTTCTTTATCTCGAGTATGACAAGATAACTATAACAATAAAAATCAAAATCAAAATGGGCACACAAAATGACATCACAATGTCAAACCCTCCTAACATTGTCCTTTGTGTTGGTTCAAGAATTGTACAATGTGACAAGAAAAAGAAATTGCATTTATAAAGGTCCATGTGTTTTGATGTGACCCCCACAGTCACACGCACATAATAAAAGAAACCATTTCCCAAACCTCACAACCCTTTACCCACTACTATATAGGTACTACAAAATTCTCATCAAAACTCTCTTACCCTTCATTCTCTTTCATCTTTTCACACACCCTTCTAATTCCTCTTCTCATGGCTCAGGTATTTCCTCTTTCATATCTTTTTTTTTTCTTCATTTTTTCTTCATTTCTCTTGTATCCTTTATGCATATACATACACTCATCTTTGTTTAGGTATAAAATTAAAAATATATTTATTTACTAATTTTAATAATTTATTTACCAATTTTTTCCTTTTTTTTTTTTTTAATCTATCATTGGATTGATTCAAAGTAGAAGGTTGTGTTAAAGGTGTTAACTATGACTGATGACAAAACAAAGCAAAAAGCTATAGAAGCAGCTGCAGATATCTATGGTAAGTAATTCACAACATTTCTTAAAAAAATAAAATTTTAATTTAATTAATTACCATGAATTTAAATTAAAAAAAAAAAAATAGTTATGCAAATAATCAAAAGCTGATCTATTGAATTACTGCTTATTTTGATGAACAGGAGTTGATTCAATAGTTGCAGATATAAAAGAGCAGAAATTGACAGTGATTGGTTCAATGGACACAGTGAAAATAGTGAAGAAACTGAAGAAAGTTGGAAAAGTAGATATTGTATCTGTTGGACCTGCAAAAGAAGAGAAAAAAGAAGAAAAAAAGGAAGAGAAAAAGGAAGAAAAAAAAGAAGAGAAAAAGGAGGAAAAGAAAGAAGAGAAGAAGGAGGAAAAGAAAGAGGAGAATAAATAATTATAATTAATATTCTGTTTTTTTATTATTAAACTCTTCATTTTCTTCTAATTTTTGTTTGCATATTTTTCTATATTGAGAAGGCAGTGTAAGCTGAAAAAAATTGTCTATAATTTTTTAAAATTTGTGTAATAGTATCTTTTTGAATTTGATGTTCAAGATCTTTTTAATTAAGCATTGATTAATCTTCAGTTACCAAGAAGATATAGCATGGGTTCAAAATGGTTGAGAATAATTAATGATTATTATTATTTATTTGTTTTTTCTAGAATTCTTTTCTTTTTTTCTGTTCCATATTTTTATGTTCATAATTTAGTCGTACGAATTATTACTATATTCTTCATTTTATTCTTTTCGGTACTCAGTTTGTTTTTTTCCTTTTGTTTTTCTATTAACTCAAATGGCTCATGTGACTGTGATAATATCGATGCCAGTTGTTATGACTTATGATTGCTTGTGAATTGTAAATTTTGGCAGAAGTTGGAAGTATACGATAACCGGATCAAATGGCTTTTGGTATTTTTTTAATTAAAAAGTACATGTGAAAAATATATTACTAATATTAAAGCATTAATATTCTCAATAACATAAAAGATAAATGTCTCAAACTATATGATATGTGTCAAACTATTAAGGTGGGTATAGCAGATACTCCTTTGTTTTATAATCGGTAATTCAATCTACCATTTTATATATATTAAAAAATATTTAAAAAAATAAGAAAAAAAATATTTTTATTATAATATTTTTAATTATATATTAAAATTGATCTGGATTGGGCATACGCTTGTCCTTCGAACGTGAAGCCCAAAAACAGTTCAAATTAGGGACTGTTGGATAATTCCCCACACGATCCTTGGAGGACGTGGCCCACGATCCCACGACAGTCATCTTAAACTGTCCTTCGGGAATCACGGGTCCAATCCTATTCTCGCGGAACAGTTGACCAGAGGAGAATCCACTCACTGGACTCCATACACACGTAAGCCCTGGCAGTTTCTGTTATTGGGCCTCAACGTGGCCCAATACTGGAAACCTTGGTCCAACGCTGGGGGCTATAAATATCTTCTCTCCTAAGAGGGCCAGATATTCAATTCAACACTTCTAACTCTTAACATTTGCTTGCTCATTCCGCAACTTACTTTGCCATCAGAGTGTCTTGCAGGTACCCCCCATCTCATTCAACTTCTTCCCGAGCTAGCTGTGACGGTCCATTTCTGATTCGGTAAGATCAATGGCGCCGTCTGTGAAAAACTTACTTCCACGTCTTACATTTACTCGAGACTAAAGTTAAACAATCTCTTACTGTCATGGCTGACCAGACTGTAGAAAACATGAACATCTGTATCATCGACGTCAACAACAACATCGTCGACAATAATGCCGACCTCGACAACGTCGGTACCGCCGACCACAACACAGCCCCCGCCATTAATATGCCCGGGCCTTCTGACTATAGAGACGGAGCAACTGCTTCATCATCATCACTGCCTCCACGACTCGAAGATGATCAGCCACCTCCCCAGAACTACCAACCCGTTCAATTCCATGAGGTCCCCGACCCCATCGGGGAAGACGCCACGACCAGGGCACTGTTCGCGGCGATAAATCAGACCAACTACCTGATCTTCACTCAGGGAGAAAGATTGAGGGCGCTCGAAGATGCTCAGAGAGCCCCTATAAGACACAAGAGACCTCAGTCTCCTCCTCCTTGACAAGCAGAGGAACGTCCCCAATCTCCCCAATGGAGACGTAGTCAGGACATCACTCGAAGCCCTTCTCCCCGACCAATCGGGCGACACCCTGTATTAGAAAGGGACCAGCCCATTGACACAGGGAGACACAATCACGGCCCCTCGCGTCAAGAACGAAGACCCCCTGGAGACAAAAACGGGGGAAACAACGAGCGACCATACCGCCCGAGGAACGCTCTGCGCGACCAGGGCCACCATAACCGCCACTACGTCAGATCCCCGTCTCGCTCGTCCGAACGGAGTGACGAGGATGACCCTCGCGGTCCTTTGTCACAAGTAATCATGGAGGCACCCAGTCCCCCGGGCATGGAGAAGCCTCCCCACCTAAAGGAATACGACGGCATCACCGACCCGATCGACCATATAGATGGGTTTGAGGCCATGCTACATTATCACAATGTTAGGGGACCAATCAAATGTTGGTTGTTCCCCACGACTCTGAGGAAAGCTGCGATGGGCTGGTACAAAAGTCTCGCCCCGGGGTCAATTACCTCCTGGTGAAATCTGAAGAACCAATTCATCAGTTCATTCACTGCTTCGCGACGCCACCCAAAGACCGAAGCAACCCTCGAGGCCATCGTCAAGAGACACGATGAGACCCTGAGGGAATTTATTGATCGGTTCAATCGGGAGGCCATCCAGGTCCCCTGTACCGATCACATGAAGAGATACCTGCTCGAGAGGGGACTCCTCCCGGGCACGGAATTCAGAAAGGTCGTAGGCATCGAACTGCCCCAGACATTTGATGCTCTCCTCGAGAAAGCCAAAGCCTACATGGACTACAAGGAGAGGGAGGCGGCCAACAGAGCCTTGGATCCCAGAAATGGCGGATCTACCAGTCATCCGCGATAAGACACTGCCCCTCCTCGACGAACTTGTGAGAAGAGATGGGACGACAAACCCCGAGACCCTCAAGAACAAAGAGGACCCTCAGGGAAGTTTACCGAGTACACTCTGCTGGCGGCTTCCCGCGAGCGCATCTTAGCAGAGTGCACGAATACGGATTTCAAGGACAGAGACGTCAAGCATCCTCGCCCCGATCCTGCTAAGCCTGGGGCAGATTGAAGCAAATACCACTAGTACCACCGGAGCCATGGGCACATGACTGAAGATTGTGTCCACCTCAAGGATTCTATTAAGACCCTCATAAAAGGGGGGAGACTCGAGCAATATCGGCTCGGCAACGCCTCTGTCGAGATGCCCGTGAAACAAGGGAGATAGAGGAGGATGCCCGACCATCTGACGAGTCGGTCCCCATCCAGACCGCATTCTCCGTTACGAGACCAGAGGACTTTTACGTCCCCAAACATATGCAAGAGCCTCTGTCTATGCACAGCAGGTGGGAAAACTTCCCCTCCGCCATGGTCATAAATGGTGGGGGATTTATTGACTTGACTATAAACTCGGCAAAGAGGAAGCTGAACGAGCTGGTCGACGCGGCTCCCCCATAAACGGTGACCTTTGAGAGGGTTAAAGGCAGATCAAAGCCGATCACCTTTTACCTCGAGGAACTGCCCGGAGGGGCCCCCAATTCAGCCACCCCTCTTCTAATCAGGGCGAGAATGGACAACTTTAACGTATATCCCGTCCTAGTCGACGAGGGAAGTTCCGTCGACGTGATGTACAACCAAATTTTCATAACCCTGCAGCTCGAAGACTCTCACCTTTCACCATAAATGGGATCGGACTTGCAGGGATTTAATGGCTCGACCTCCAAGCCATGGGGGTACGTGGAGCTTATGGTCACCTTCGGCGAATATACTGCTACCCGGCAAGTCAAGGTGCACTTCCTCGTCATTGACTTTCTGTCCCTCTACAACTGCATCCTCGGGAGGCCGACATTAGTAGAGTTGACCGCGGTGCCCTCCACCGTTCATCTGAAGATGAAGTTCTACAAAAAGAGGGCACGGGTCGCCATAATTCAAGGCGACCTAGCAATCGCCCGAAGATGCTTCAACGTGGTGGCCAAGGGATAAAGCACAGTCGACACCGGAGCACGGCCCACCAAGAAAGTTGCAACAGTGCGACCAAAGCCTCAATAGTTAGAACCATAACCCATCAGAACAGAGGTGCAAAGGGCTCATTCAAAGGTCGATTCGATCTCGCTGGACACTCGCTTCGACCAAGACGAACCCTCGAACGGCAAGCAGAAGCTCCTCCGACCAATTCCAGATGGGGACTTCGAGCTCGTCCCTCTTGGTAAAGACCCGAGCAGAGGGGTGAAGATTGGCACATGACTCCCCGACCCGGTGAGGAAGCAGATAAAGGCCTGCTTGAGAGAGAACGCTGATCTGTTCGCATGGAGCACCATGGAAATGCCTGGTCTTGACCCCTGAGGTCGCCTTCCATCAACTCGCCATCGATCCAGCCGCTAGGGCAGTAGTACAACGTAGGTGTAGGCAGTCCCCTGAAAAAGCGGAGGCTGTTGAAAAAGCTGTAAAAGACCTCATAGAGGAAAATTTTATTTCAGAAGCCCGATATTCAACCTGGCTGTCTAATGTTGTACTCGTTAAGAAAAATAATGGAAAATGGCGTATGTGTGTTGACTATACCGATCTTAACCGGGCATTCCCCAAAGATGCATTTCCTTTTCCTAATATTGATATGCTGGTCGGAAACTCAGCCGACTATAAAATTTTATCTTTCATGGATGCCTATTCGGGCTATAACCAAATCCCAATGGCAATGAGTGACAAACACTGCACTGCTTTCATGACCAGCTCGGGCAACTATTACTACAACATAATGCCCTTCGGTCTGAAAAATGCAGGAGCAACATATCAGGGGATGATGAACAAAGTCTTATGCGATGAGATCTGAGATATGCTCGAGGTATACATGGACGACATTATCATCAAATACCGACTAGACACCGACCATGTCGCGCATCTCAGGAAAGTCTTTGCCCAAGCATGGCAATGCAGAATGAGGTTCAACCCCGAGAAGTGCATCTTCGGAGTTAAGGCGGGCAAGTTCCTCAGCTTCTACCTAACAGAATGAGGAATCGAAGCCAACCCCGACAAATGTCGGGCGTTCTCTGACCTCCCTACACCCACTTTGAAAAAATCCATACAAGTCATGAATGGTATGCTCGCCTCACTCTCCCGTTTCATTGCAAAATCCGCCCAACACGCCCTTCCCTTTTTCAAACTCCTGCGCAAAGAATCAGCTTTCGAGTGGACCGAGGAATGCAAACAGGCCCTCCTCCATCTCAAACAGAGCCTCTCACAGCCGCCCGTGCTATCA